TCCTACCTATCAGAATATTAGCTACTTCTGATCAAGCTTCTCATTTGCTAGACCCTCCTGGGACATCTGCCTTTGTGTTCCTTTATCTATGAGAGAAGATATGCTTTGCCCAATTCTTAGGCATAAGCACAAATTTTAAAAACTACATTTGACTTTCACTGATCACAGGGCCGTAATATACAAGTAATTAAATAATCAACACGACTCTGCCTATTTGACAGAAGCTTGGGAAGGAATCCCATCGCCCCTCTTCTCACTGTCCCCAAGCCTCAAATCATCATTCAGTCCAAACGGTGCAAGAAAAATGAAACAGAAAAAGTTACTTTTCCTAACTGACTGAGAATGTGAAAGGTGAAGTAACAGCTTAGCACAAGTGAGTGAGACTGTGTGGGCAGAGGGCTACAATGTGTATGACTGACCTTGGGCAAGTCATTTAATCTCTGTACCTCATCTTCCTAACAGGTAAACAATGCAATAATACCCACTGCATGTGAGGGTCCAACAGGGTAATGTGTGGGAAGTGGTTTGCCAACTATAACTTTGGAAACAAATGTTAGTTACTATTACTAAAGAAAAGGAAAGTTTCCTTCCTCTGTATTTCTCCTTCTATCTTTAGATTTCTAGAATACTCTTCCCTTTTTATTCAAGTTATTAACTTATTTAAAATTTCTCAAATTTAAGCTAGAGATATCCTCAGGTGCCACAAAGGTAGACAGACGGGTGCTATGCTACCCTCATCCCTATACAGGCAGCTATCTTAATGTCTCTAAATGCTGTTTTCATATTAGCATCCCCGAGATCATTAAAAACTATGACTGCTTCTTAGAGTCTGAGTGTCTGAGGGAAGCACTGCTCACTCACATCTATCAATGGGCTTCTCATCTGCAGAGTTCAAGACGAGGTTTAGTCATAAAATGTCCAAGGGCAAACAAGTGTCAGCGACCCCAGCACTTCTGAACTGGTGACTAGTGAAAACGTGATTTGCAACGAACACTGTTTAGTTCCCCATACAGCAAAAAGTCTGCTGCAGCTCTTTTCCACAGGCCCCTTCTCCAGTATTTGTCAGCCCATTTCACCTCCATTCAAATTAAACAAAAAAGAAGGATTTTATTTATTCCAGTATTTTACACTGAACAGCTCCCGGGAGGTTCTCCACTTACTGGTTTGGGCAGCACTGTCTTTCTTCCGTTCATTAGACTGACAGCTGATCTAGAGTGAGCCAGGAACTGGAAGGGACTCCTGGAAGGGCTCACACACATGCGCGTGAGGTCGGCACCGCGTTCTTCTGTGCGGCAGCTGTTCGGAAGGGAATCTCCTGCATTTATTTTTATAATTTCTTAGAATACAAAAAATATGTTGCCAACATGAAACATCATCATTCTGATGATGAAATGCTTTCGATTCTGTTCTTTATTTCATCTAGTTTAGACAAGGAACCATTTGATAAAATCATACAACTGTTTATTGCCAAAAAACCCCACCCCATTTTCATCTGAAATGCAACCTGGGGCACACAGCATCTAATTAAATTCATACAAAGCACAAATTATTGAATAGAAACCAAAATGCATTTCAGAGTAAATATCAATTAATGTGACACCCAATTTCTAATCACTCCAATGTGCAAGGCTTGTACAAAAACATATTCAATTTATTTTGTAGGATTCAATTAGAATATGTTTTAGATTTCAATCCAAGAATCACATCCAGTGGTTTGCTAGCAGGTTGGTTAGGTGTTTTTTTCTAGTTGATTCTTACAAAAAATAAAAAAAAATTGGTGTTATAAGAAGTTCCTCCTCAAATTTTTCATTGTTTAATTTGAGAAGGCTTCTCATTACCTAATATGTTTACTTCTCTCACTTAATACATGGATTTGTGCTTCTTTTGGCAAGAGCACCATCTCTTTTCTCCTGGTTTCCATGACAGTGAACACACAGTAGAAAACTATAAAGCCATCCATACAGGGATTCAACAGACTGCGCTATCAACCTAGTCCATGAGACAAGGCTTCAAATAACAGAGCTGTGTTCAACAACACGCAACAAATGGTCGTCTATAAAGCAGTAACACTTGTTCTGTTCAACAGAAAACAACAAGCGGCCAATCCAGCGCGCGGTGGCCGAGTGCAGCTGATGGCCTGTGAAAGTCACCCGCCAGTGCTCAGGGCTATTCCCAGAGAGCAGCTGGCAGGCAGGGCTGATCCAGGGCCATGATGATGGCATCCTGGTCTCCGAGTTCACGTGTCATGCTTTCCACAAATATTCCCTGAGCAGTAGAGTGCAGAGGTACTGAGACTGGTGCCAGAAAGCACGGAGCAGACAAAGTCCATACGCTGAAGGAGCACAGCATATTTTGGGAGGAGCCACTGGTTCTTAAGAGGGAAGGAAGCTCTGGTAATTCATACCACAAATCATCATCACTTGAGGCTTATAACGCACACTATTTTAAAAAGTAAAAACCACTGATAAATAGGAAAGAATTTCTTTTCAAACACTGTAGAAGTTCCACGAGTGTAGCTGCTATCGTATTTTATTTCATCTCTGTCCGGTTGCCTTACACTGAGCACCAGCCATACGCCAGGCACTTCCACGTGGCCTCTCTTTTTCTATTTCGCACAAGGTGTCTAAAAAGTGCTTGCTACACAGATATTTACCTTTTAAAAAACACTAACTAAAAATTCAATTTATATTTCATATTGTTATGGGTTAAATATTTCAAAGAAACCTGGCAAAAGCTAACCGAGTCCCATTACTTACTCAGATGTCTACATGTTGACTTCAGTTTCTCATCTCTCACAGTTAACACTAAGCAATGCTGAACAGAACTTCTTCAAAATGGCCGTGTGCAAGGCCAGGTCTTTCTGGGCTTCATCGCGTCTATCAGTGATCAGTGCAGTAAGTCAGCTGCGCTGCGGATACTGAGAATGCTATCCTGTCGGTAAGCGAGCACAGATTTATGGGGGTTCTTTTGTCTATGATGCCCTGATGAGAATGGATCCTGGCCCACTCCATTTCCAGGTCCTGGAGATGTGCGTGACACACACCTATTTCTAGGACATCTCCCCCAGCTAGTTCTCTTTAATTTTGGCTTCCCCATTTCTCTGTCTGAGAGAGTCAATCAAAGTGCATGCTCAAGGCTTGGGGAGGTTCCACAGTCTTCTTTAATGCTTGGACAACCAGGAAAGCAAGAGGGCAAGCTCCTTGAGGGCAGGGGCCACTATGGCAAGGTCTCTGCCCTCAAGCTCAGCCCGGTGTGCTCCCTAAGTGATTACTGAGGACAAGGACGAAACACCTGGGCTGCTCTTCTCTTCAAGGCAGCAGCCAAGACGCAGCCAGGCCAGCGTGCAGAAGGCGAAGCTGTCACTCAGCTGGATCTCCCACTTGCCTACGGTAGCAGATGATTGGGTTTTGCATGCCTGGTTTACACTCTTCAAATATTTATAGACAGTTCCCTTTGCCTCAAGCCCTAGTTGTCACTTAGCCAAGTTATACATACATGGTTCTTTTAATCTTTCCTTAGAAATCAATCCTGCTCAGCTCCTTAATCATTCTAGTTGCATTTCTCTCAACTTTTGGCTGTTTGTCTTTCTGGTAATTTATTCTGTTGAAATGCATAAAAATAATACTGGTGTGGAGCAGAAAGGGTCTTGGTCCCCTTCCCATTAGAAAGTTCAGTGCCTTTTATGCGCAAAATAAAATTATTCATCCTCTTTCCTCTTGTATGATCATGTTTTAACAAATTCATATTTAAGATGACGGATCAATCAATACATTGCAAGAGAAAGGGAGAAAAAAGTATCATCAGTATTATATTCTCTAAGGATGATACTGTCACTGACTGAACTCTCTCATGTGTCTAGAAACTGATTAATTTAACCTGCAACATTCAAACATGAAGAACAATGGAAATCCAGGGTAGTGTGGTCCCCAGAGCGGTGTCAGTGCCCCTCCTAAGGTACTGTCTACTTGTGATACTTCTGGCTAACTTCAGCTTTCAGTGAAAACGATAAACGCAAGTTAATTCCTACCATTACAGAAGTAATACATTAGAGGAAATTTTAAGTAATTAGAAATGAACAAACGTTACCTATAGTGTACTACCCAAAAACAATAATTAACCATTTTTGAAGAATTTCACTTTAGCCTTTCTTGGATGTATTGTTCCCTCTGCCCCCAATAGGCATGACCATACCATTTGCACAGTTTAACACCTTGCCTTTTCCACTTACTATTGTAACAAAAAATTTCCTGTCTTGCATTTTCTTCAAATCAGCATTTTTAATGACCATATATTACTCCATCAAATAAGTGGATGTGTCTAATTTTACAATTCCCTATGTCGAACATTTACATCGTTTCAATTCTTTCTCTAGATCGAATGTCATTATAAAGAAAATCTTGGTGTGTAAAGCTTTTCTGTATTTAAATTTATTCCTAGATTTGTGGCAGTAAAATGAATGTACCAAAGGATACCCAGAAAATAAATTTAGAAGAAGTAAAGAATTAATTCAAGTACTACTTGAAGTGAAAAAACACCACCTTCAGTACAAAAATTTGTCTTTTGGCCCTGGCCGGTTTGGCTCAGCGGTTAGAGCGTCGACCTGCGGTCCTGAGAGACCCGGGTTCGGTTCCCGCTAAGGGCGCGTACCTCGGTTGCAGTTTGTCCCCGGCCCTGGTCGGTTGTGCGGGTGGCAGCCACTCGATGTGTCCCTTTCGCATCGATGTTTCTCTCTCTCTCTCTCTCTGTTCCTCTCTCTCCCTCCCACTCTACCTGAACAGAAAATGGAAAAATGTCCTCCGGTGAGGATAAAAAAAAAAAAAAATTTGTCTTTTGGCTCCGATGTTAACAAGTGAACACGCAAATCTTAGAAAGCTATAGTAAACTGTCGGAGGCGGCAAGTTCTTGTAAGTTAAATGTGGTCCTTGCTAGAATTTCACCTCTTTTCTTCACACAAGCATATTGTCAGTCCCTTATAAGTAAGCTTAAATTCTGAGCCTTACCTAGATCTACCATTAGAAGGCGAGTGAGGGCTGTGTAGAAGGTCGTTCGGCACCTGAAGTCCCCGAGACTGTGACTGTCACTGATGCCCAGGAAGGGGAAGTGTTCACTCTAATGAAAGCAAAAGAGCATCCAAGTTACAAATGCTTTCCCTAAGCTGCCTGGAGAACTCTAGTCATTAAACCAAGGAAATCAGACTTACCGTGTGATTTTTTAGCATGAATTTCACGGCATCTATCTTCACAAGTTTTTTTAAAAGGATATAGGTAATAGAAGTTAAGGAATTTGGGGAAATAGAATGTCTTCTCAATTGGTAATAAATCACAAAATAACACTGAATTACAATGACACCAATGTCTATTTATGAAGAATCAATATTATTTCTAAAGAGTACTCCTATAGAAATGTCCTTCATACTGTTAAGAAAGATAATCTATTATTAACCAGTGCAATTACTTTTCTTATCTTATACATGTTCTCGTATGGAAAGGAAGAATGAATTTTATAATTAAGATAAAAACTTCTTTGCTATTAAAACCTTCATAGTGGAAAATTAAAACTGACCTTTTTTACATTTTGGGTGTAACACTGAGAACTTCTTTTCACTTAATATTATTTCATAATAAAATAGTGATAAAAGACCCATAACAGGCTATTGAGAAAAAAGGAAATGCTCAATTCTAAGAAACGGTGATCTCAGTTAGAAATCGAAGAAACTCTGATTTAGAGGAAGAAGACAGGAATACAATCAGGAGGATGTAGCAGACTGCATGTCATCAAGTACTGAAGGGCAGGTTTAGACGACCTAATATTTCTCAAGTACCTACTAGACGCAAGGCATTTCACATATATATGAAATAATGTTTTTATTGATTTTAGAGAGAAGAAGGGAAATGGAGAGACAGAAACATCAATGAGAGAAAAACATCTATTGATTGCCTCCTGCACGCCCCCTACTGAGGATCAAGCCTGCAACCTTGGTCTGTGACCTGACTGGGAACTGAATGGGTGACCTCTTGGTACATGGGACCATTGAGCCACACCTACAGGGCTGTTGGCATTTCATATTTAACTTTCCTAATCTTCACAATTACATTGTTAAATATTATTTATTATTTCTAATCCATAGATAAAATAAGCACAGAGAAACTGTTACTTGCCCAAAATTGCACAGCTATGGGTTGATAGTGCTGAGATCTGAAATGAGGTTTGACTCCAAAGACCATGTTCTTTCTACTGAGCTGAACTATCACCTGAACAGTTCAACTCAGAACGAGACCAAAGTCAAGAAATCATAAACATGATCACAGGCCTAACTAATTTCTGGTTAACACTGTCATCAAAGAAGGGCTGACGTGAGCTCTGAGAACACTGATTTAGAATCTAAACACTCTCCTCTTTTACTTCACCCTAATCACGTGTTTTCTGCTACAGCCAGGGCCTGTCTTGGTCATTCCCCGCATACTTACTCATGCCCTTCTTGTAGGCTATGATAACTTTAAATGGCACTACTCATGTTCCAATGAAAACACTTGACTGCTTTCCTTCACATCTTCTCCAAATATCGAACTCTGTATCCTGACTCTGTACAGGGGCACTGCAGTCTAACTCAAAACGTAGGCACTCAGGTGTGGATGTAAAAGAGTAGAAAACACCCTGGAACACAAGTCAGGAAGCCTAGGCTACCAGTTTAATCAAGCCATTCAATCAGCTGGATGAGTCTGAGCACTATACTCAGCCACTCTGAGCCTTAGTTTCCCTCCCCAACAAATCAGGATGAAAGCTATGCTCATGCTACCTATCTTATAGGATTGTTGTGTAAATCAAATGGTGAAAGTGTCTTTGTCAATTATAAATCAGGGAAGAGGACGCAGAGATGCAGGGAATGAACACTTACAGAATGTTTACTACTTGCAAGGTTGATTCTCACAATCCCGCGAGATACAGGCAGCATTGCTTCTATTTTTCAGATAAGGAAACAAACTAAAACACATTAACCAGAACTTCCCAAAAGAAACAATTAGTATTATTTAGGTCCAGGTCCCTCCGACTCTAAAACCACCATTCCAGCTGCACATTAAGCATGCACATCTGGCTCACTTCCACGCTAGATTGGAAGCTTTCTAGGGACAGGGACCGCATCCGTGCATTTTCCTGCCTGCACTGTGCTCAGGGGGGGCTCAATGAACTATGTGTTTCTGGCAGGCTGAAGGGCAATGCGATCAGGGCTGACAGGCAGCAGGTCTTTCCTTGCCTACAAAGATGCAGATTTGATGCCTTTTTTTTTTTTTTCCAGTGTAAAATCAAAGCAGAACTGCCACTCAAACTTCACTCAGTTAAACAGAGTGGGGATCAATAAACTAAGAAATATCTTAAGTAATTACCAAATACAATTCTCTTAGAATTGCAAAGTTGAAAGTGACAGGGTCTATGAGTAATCAGAATGCTGCCATTAATAGGAATCTTCCTGTCAGTGTGGCTAATAAACAGCAAGTCATGTTTTGACAACAGAATATTTATGGGAGCAATAAACAGAGCATTCACAGGAAGACTCTCATCTGCCAAGGACACATTTTCTACAGAACTGCATCTGTGCACTTTGAACCAAGGCCAGCCTCACTGCCTTTTAATTACATTCTAAAGAGAAAATGATTAAGAATAAATATTTTTTCAATAAAGAAAAGAATGAGAGTTCATCTGAATATTTATATTCCCATATAGGAATTCAATTCAAAACTAGTTATACTCCTTAAGAGGGTCTGTAATATTTAAAAAAAAAAAAAAAAGGCAAATGGAACCCTGGTTGGAGTGTCATCTGGTACAACCAAAGGTTTCGGGTTCGATCCCAGTTCGGGTGTCATAACAGTAAACACAATAATAGTGGTTAACAGTCTAGAGCACAGAGTAAGAGAATTCAGTAAAGGTCACACGGAACATGCAAATTGTAAAACCAAGATTCAAATCCAACTCTGTCTGACTGTCAAGGATAAGCTCTTTTCACTAGGTTACATCATATCCACTTGATTTGTGTTGTTGTTGTTGTTGTTAATCCTCACCCACGTATATTTTTCCACTGACTTTTTTTAGATAGAGTGGGAGGGAGGAGGAGAGAGAGAGAGAAACATTGATTGGTTGCCTCTCTTAGAACTCTGAACGGGGTCAGGGATTGAACCTGCAACCCAGGTAATGTGCCCTTGACTGGAATCAAACCCACGACCCTTCGGCCCTTGGACTGATGCTCTAATCACTGAGTCAGGGCTCCATTTGATTTTAAAGAGGCCAGTGATTCTACACAGACTACTAGCTTCTTGAGAGACAACTGAAGCTGGAACTAGGCCCCAGAAGGAACAGGAAAACTGTTCTTTCAGGAGGAAATCAATTCATTAATGAACTTTCATCACATCCGGGACTGAGCAAACTCCAAAGGCTGGCTGATCGTTAACTCACTAAACAAAATTCCCAGGAAATTCCTGTCCGTCACATATCCTTTGAAGAGGAGGATAACAAAACAGAATGAACTGGTTTCTTAAATTACAGGAGTACCACACACTTTAATTTAGTAGCTGATGGGCACAGCAGCACCAAGTACAACTTCAATTCATGGTATCAAGCCTTTACTGAGTAGCTACCATATTTCATCAGACCTACACCACTGATTATACAAAACATTATTCTATGTGCTACTATGAAAGAAAAGATGTTTAAAAATACCTTCAATTGTAAGACATCTTATTTACAGAAGTGTTAAAATGTGAAAAAATTTTGGGGGTGGGAGGGAAGGAAGAGATAAATCAAAGAACTTATATGCAAATATGCATAACCAATGGACATAGACAACAATACTGTGAAAGGGGGGGATCGGGAAGAGGGTATCAATGGAGGAAAAAGATCTGTAACAAAAATGAATAAAAAGAAAATAAAATTAGTGTCCCAAGATCTCAAAAAAGAAAGAAATTTCTGTTTGCAAGTCAAAGGAGTAGTGTAATAAATATATGATATTCATTCACTAAGTACATGAGAGTGGATGATGGTAGTGATCTGATTGATAATCTAAACGCCATATATGTTTCCAAACAGTTTTTGCAGATAGAATTGGACCCCAATGATAAAAGAAAGTTCACAGATAAGAAAATCACATGTTGGAAATGACTGTAGATAGATGATAGATACAAAGTATAATTACTGAACTATTAGTTCACTTATTTCACAAACAGGATTATGCTAATAAACCTTGCTAGACTAAAAAAAAAAAAAAAAGAAATCCGAATAGGTATAATCAAAATGAAGCATCTCAAGGGAACTTAATAATCACTTACAAGGAATAGGAGTTTAAAACTCAGTCACTTAACAAGAGGGTAACACTATGTTCAAATGCCCCCTATGTGAAGTTACGAAACCCTAGAGCAGCGGTTCTCAACCTGTGGGTCGTGACCCCTTTGGGGGTCGAACGACCCTTTCACAGGGGTCACCAAAGACATAATAGTAGCAAAATTCCAGTTATGAAGTAGCAACGAAAATAATTTTACGGCTGGGGGTCACCACAACATGAGGAGCTGTATTAAAGGGCCGTGGCATTAGGAAGGTTGAGAACCACTGCCCTAGAAGGAGAAGAAAAGAGTCCCAATCTAATAACTTACAACCTAATCAGAGAGGACTAGCCAATACCAGGCTATATTATAATCATCCTCATACATAAATATAAAAACTAGATGTTCAGGAACATTAAAAAAATTAAAGCTAATAAGGATGAAAATGAAGGGTTTACTATTTAATGAGCGCCTACTATGGGACAGGGTAAGTAGTACCAGGTGCTTTATTTTTGTTAGGTAACACAAATATATTGTTATATATATATTATTTTATTTAATCCACTTAAAATCCGAAGAGATAATATTCCCTTTCTACTGATGAAGAAACTGAGCCTCAGGGAAATTACATTACTTGTTCTTGTTTCTCCAGTTAACACAGTGACTAAGGATTATATCTATTTCAGGATGGCTTTACTAAGTCTTTAGCAAGACCTGAAAAAATTTTGAGAGAGATCAAATTGAGTTACAATGGGTCACATGAGAAGAACAGCATGTGGTGATTCAGTGAAAGATCATGAAGGGTGTCAAGGGGAAGGTAAAATAAATTTCCTTGGCCCAAGGAAAAGTATAAAGCACAGATTGAGGTTGAGTGGTGGATCAGAAATTAGTTATGGGAACTCAATAAGTCAAGTACTGTTAAAGGTCTCAAGTTCAAATCAATAATTTTACATTGACCT